GGATGCATATTAGGACGAGATCCACGAGAATGTAGATGATGTCACTAAATAGGGAGGAATGTATCGACGGGTAATTAAAACGTAAAATTGGAGAGGAACATGAATAATAAAAAAGAAGTTGAGAATTAAAATAAGGAGATATGAAAGGGTAACCCCAACCCCAAAATCAGGTATATATAAAGACAGCCATGATTCACCAATCATATATCTCTTTTCCCTCATCACTTAGCTACCTCCTCCTTTCTCTACGTATACCAGCACCAAACCCTTCTTCAAATTTCTACCTGCAAATTCATATATGGTGGCGACGGAGACTGGTGGCGACGCTGCCATGGTGATCATATTCAGGGAGTACAACCCCAAAACTGACACCCACAAAGTGGAACAAGTGGAGAGAAGCTGTGAAGTGGGTCCAAGTGGCGAATACTCCCTCCACGCCGACCTCTTAGGTGACCCGATTTGCAGAGTTCGCAACTCTCCTGCATATCTCATGCTGGTTGGTATCACATACTTGATTAGTATTCAATTCGACTCTGTTTATATATACACTGAACCGTCGACGGAAGTTTCAGGTGGCGGAGATGGTGGTCAGCGGCAGCGGGACAGAGATTGTAGGGATGATAAGGGGTTGCATCAAAACGGTTACATGCGCAAGAAAACTATGCCGGAAACCCAATTTTGTGGCAGAACCCTTCCCTGTCTTCACTAAACTCGCCTACATCTTAGGCCTCCGGGTCTCGCCCTCTCACCGGTAACACATCTTCTACATTAACATTTAAAACACTGTTTTATTTAACATTATATATATAACCAATTATTTACTTAAATTCATATATTTTATAAAATATAATTTTTTATTAAAGATATTTTAAGAGTTTATCCAGTAAAAATGGTAGACGAAATTATTATGTATAACACTCGATCATAAGGAAATTGCTAAATTTAGAAACTTGGTAGACCCATCTTGAAAACAACCACTCGACTAGCCTCTACTATTTCCACAAATAGCAAGACATTTTTTAAATCATTTTAACATATAACTTTCAATCAAAGGAATTAACAAAATGACAGAAAACTAAATAAATGATTTTTTAATTATAATTATTAAATACTAATATGATAAAAAAAAAATTAGTTAGCGGTTATTTATATGGTATTTTTCACGATTATTAAAAATAATAATAATCACAATTGAGATGTTATTTTATTGGGTTTTCACATTTCCTAACCTTAAATTTGATTTTTTTTATAGGAGAATGAAAATTGGATTAAAGCTTGTTGGTAGAATGGAAGATTGGTTTAAAGATAACGGTGCTGAATATTCGTATATAGCAACTGACGCAACTAATAAACCTTCCGTTAATCTGTTTACTGGAAAATGTGGATACTCAAAGTTCCGCAACCCTTCTATCTTGGTCCACCCTGTATTCAATCACCGCCTTCGCATCAACCGTCAACTCACAATTATTAAACTCTCACCGGCTGACGCTGAAACAATCTACCGCCGACGGTTCTCCACTACTGAGTTCTTCCCGCGTGACATAGACTCGGTACTCAAAAACAACCTCAACCTTGGCACATTCCTCGCGATACCAAAAGATTGCATGCACGCCGTTTTGTGGGCCGGGTCAGAATGTTTCCTTTCCTACCCACCCGAGTCATGGGCCATCATGAGCGTGTGGAACAGTAATGACGTTTTTAAGTTGGAAGTTAAGGGAGCATCGAGATTAAGAAAAGGATTTGTCAAAACAACAAGGGTCTTGGATCGAATCTTCCCGTTTTTAAACTTGCCTTCATTACCGAAGATCTTTAACCCGTTTGGGCTCCATTTGCTATATGGGCTTGGCGGGGAAGGCCCATCCTATCTGAAGTTTGCCAAGGCCTTGTTTGGTTACGCTCATAACTTAGCAAAGGAGAGCAAGTGCGGCGTGGTGGCAACAGAGGTGTCGAATGAGGATCCACTCAAATCAGTGATCCCACATTGGAAAGTACTATCATTTGCGGATTTATGGTGCATTAAGAGGCTTGATGAAGACTATAGTGACGGATTTATAGGGGACTGGAGAAAATCAGAACCAGATTTATCTTTTTTCCTTGATCCTAGAGAATTTTAGAGATCGAAGAATATTAAAATGTAAAGTTTAGAGTAGGAGGAAAAGTCTAATGAATGAATGAATGAAGTATAATTGCAAAAGTCTAATGATGATTTGTAATGGGTGGATGGGGAAAGGAATGAAGGAGAGATAGTTGAGTTGTGGTATATATCCTCACTTTTCTTAAATAAATCTCATGCTTTTATAGATCCTACTTCACCCAAACAATGCCAAGATTTTTTTCCATTTCAAGATTTTGTCTAGATTCTTTCTTCTCATCATGCCTACTCTTATCCAACTATTTTTCTTAAATAATTAAATATATTATATATAATTTTCTTTAAATCTTGTAACTCAAATATATAAAACTAACTGATAATCAACCGTTTAAAGTACATGATAAACTTGTAACTACAATGAAATTGGATAATTTTATCAATATGGGACAAGTTGTCACAAACTCACACACTTAAAAACCTGATGTCCAGGTGAGGACTACCCAACATTACCATTTTGGGGAATCCGTAAGCGCAAAACAAATAATAGACTAGTTCAGTAACTTTTAAATCACCTTAAATACAGTAATAACATTTATTATTAATTAAAAAAAAAATCATTTTATGTGTATTTGGGATGTGTAGTTACAACTCCCCATTTAAATGAGCTTAGAAGCTCACATATTTCATTTTAAGTGAGCTATTATTTATTTTTAATATCCTTTCACATATGGATGTTTCTAGGCAAAGATATATAGCAAACTATAATTTGTCAAGTAATTATAGATATGACAGTTATACCATATAAATATGTGTTTAATATAACATGTATATGTATTGATTGCAAATCTATATGAAGTTGAAAAGTGTGCAAATCTATGTAATGTCTACTTTATAGCTTTCTAGATCCTTTAAGGTAACATCTTGTTCGCATTCCGTTATTTTCCGTTTCAAATTTACGAGTTATCGGCAAAAAAATTGGTATTTGACAAATATTCTATGTTTATATTTAGAGTTATATTTGTCTTCTTGAATTTTATAATCCTAATATTCTCCAAGAATATTGTAATGCATGAAATATAATATGGAGAAGATGTTGGTATTGATGCTATAAAATCATCTCTAATTGAATATGTGTCGTTTAAATATTATATAAACGGTCTTTGTTTATTTAGTCTTGTTTGAACCCTCACCTCACAAATTTCTTTAAATTAAATTATAAATAGAATAATTATCGGTGGTAATGGAGAAATATTTATGAGAACTTTGTGGTCCTTTGTGTTTTATTCATTGGAGATACACAAGAATAAAAATGGATTTGATGTTTTAGTTACTTTGTGGTTTGTCAATGGACTCATTGTGTCCATTAAATTATTTCAAATTGTACGGTAAAAGTAGGAAAATCGATTGTTTATAGTTTTTATTTAGAGGCATGCTTTTTATATTACTGGTTTTGTTGATTTTAACAAACTTTTCTTAAAATTCGGTGAAGATTATGTCTGTTGGTGAGTTGATTGTCATCGTGTGTAATTATTATATACATATTTTCATTATTTGACAAGCTGTTTTTTTAATACTAATTAGTTTATTTAGTGATATAAATTCCATATATGATAATACTGAATTATTTGGGAATTCCATATCTGATAATACTGAATTATTTTGTTAGTTGTGTCTTACTTTTCATAAAAATCACACGGACTGGTCTAGGCCTCATATAGTTATGCAAAACCGATTACCGAGGCTCACATAGTCATGCCAAATGCAAGGCAAGTTAACTCTTGTGAAACTATACAAATTTGGTAGTTGTCTCGTTCTTTTCATAAAAATCACACGGGCTAGTCTAGGTTTCACATGATTATGCAAAAACCATTACCAAGGCTCACATAGTCGTGCCAAAGGCAAGGCAAGTTAAGTCTTGCATAACCGTACAAATTACACAAAGCATGATTGTGGGTTCTCGATTCAATTATTTCACCAATTTTAGCATAAATACTTCATTTCTAACATAATTTACTTCATTCTCTTTGCACATAGTTGGCTAACAACGATTTATACCAGTATGCTTTAATTCTGTCATATAGCCATTTATCACAATTCTTCATGTATTCATCATCTTCTAATTCAATCAACATTCTTAATTAACGCCTAATGTTTGTTCCATTTTGACTAATCATTTGTGCAAAAAACCTCAACCTATTCACAATTAAACAAGAGTTTGGCACAAGAATTACCTTTAACTTATTATTAAACTCTTGAATGCTACCGGAACCTTCCCCATTTCTTTCGATGGCCAAAGACCAAGCTTTTCTCTCAATTTCTTTTCAGGTTCTCTTGGCAATGAAGGGAGTGAAATGGCATATGACTTCAACCATTTTGATCTTCAATTGATCCCTTAAGTCCTCCTAAACCATTGTCTCGTCCTAGATTGCAATGTTACGTCCATGAACGCATTCTAGTCTGAACATATCTTCTAACTTGCAAAACAAGTCCAAGGGTTTTCCCATCTAGCACTTGACCCACCCTCCTACACTTTTTATGCTTTCAACAAATGTCTTACCCAATTCTTGTATTGTACTTATTCTAAATTAGGGTGTTACAATTCGTATAAGTTTTGNCCCCCCCTCCTACACTTTTTATGCTTTCAACAAATGTCTTACCCAATTCTTGTATTGTACTTATTCTAAATTAGGGTGTTACAATTCGTATAAGTTTTGTTTTAGTGAGCTTCTATGGACCAGTATGAGATTGAAATTTTGGTTGGTTTACATAAAATTGAAAACAAACTTTACAAAATATTTAAAAAAAAAACACATAATTAATTTTAAGTTTCTAAATTGTTAAGATTAATATAAATAACTATAATATATATGCTTATTTTGTTTGTACTCATATATTTATTCACATCATACAATAGTGACATATTCCCTTGAAAAACACGTAAACAAGTGCACTTTTATAATTCTTTATCTGGGGAGATAGTTTTATAAATGTAACATCATTCGTTGTATTTTAGTAGAAAGTGACATTTTTAGCAAGACATAAAAAACCAGTCTGTTATTTACTACTTTTTTAAATTTGTTAAATTCACAACACCATATATATTTTTCTGAAATCTTGTTAAATTCCCCTTACCATTTATTTTAGTATATGTGGAGACAAATATAGGAATCTTAAAACAAGAGAGATACACGATGGTAGTAATTGATTTTATTTTCCCATCCACTTGGAGCGGAGATTTCACCATGGTGTCTTTATCATTGTTTTCTTTTTAGATGTTATCAGCTATATAAACCTTTTGTTGTTTATATCGCTCATTTCAATTTTAATACATACAACTGCCCAATTAAATAAAGTATTATAATTATTTGGCATTATTTTCTTCACGCATTCTTTTTCAGCTATTTATTTGTCAATCTATAGGTTATAGTTTAAAAAAAGTACATCGTGACATGATACAATATAATATAATATAATATAATATACAGAAGAAAAGAAGTTAATAAATGCATAGATTTCATTCGGAATAAAAAGAAGAGTAAACTACAAATAATTTGGTCGCTACGTTTGCAAAAACGTCCTGATTTAGTCCATCCCTCTAACAGTCGTTAAAAATTCCATTAAATGAAGTGATTTTAGTCAATTTATTGATTTTTTGTCTTTTACCGAATCAAATATGATTTTGGTTATTGTGGTTTTTTATTGGCTAAAAGACCAAAAATAAAAATAAAAACGACAAAAATATCTCTTATTTAACGGATTTTTTAACGATCGTTACAAAAGGACTAAATTTGGACGTTTTTATCAACCATAATGGTCGTATTGTAAAAACTATAGGGACTAAAAGTATCATGTCTGACAAAGTATAGGGACCAAATTTGTAGTGAAGTCTAAGAAGATTTATTAGGTGGAAGTGGAAGCCGAAAGTAAGATGTTAATGGGTAATTTGGTGATTATGATCTTGAAGGAAGTTTAGATTCTTGTGTCACAAGAAAGAAGGTACCAAATACCCATGGATCTTGGACTATGAATGACTGGGAGTGGCCTAAGTCAGGTCAAACCTTTGATTGGAATATTTTTATGTCCAAAGTCAAAGGGTCGGGCTTCATTTCTTAACAAGTTCCATATTATTCTTTTATCAAATGGGATTAAATTATTCAAATTAAAATGATAACTCCTCATTTTTATTGAAACAACTTGTAGAAAACACGAAAAATCATGAATCTAACGTTAACGTAGAAATTACTACACAATCATCTTAACAAACTATTTATTTACAATTAAATGAGCTTAATGGACTGGACGGCTTATTCGCTTACCCATACATGAGCGTTTCTTGTAAAGTATAAATAAACATAGAAAATAGCTCAAACAACCCTCCTTTCTTGGGTGAGAATGTTGCCCAAGTCGTCACTCACTCTATTACTTTATTTGGCCCAAGACTAATAAGGTCGAATTAAAGTGTTTTTGGTTCAGAGTCCCTAACAATATTCAGGCATATTGGATTAATCACCCCTTTTAATTATGCATTAGCCCCTACTTTTATGCATGTTCAAATTTGATTGAAAATTAACCAAGTAGAAATGGTTAGCAGATGATTTTTATTCATTTAAAACATGCTTCTTATCTCGCTCTTTTGTACCACACTTCCCTTGTAAATATGTGGCTGCTGTCTAACATCCTACAAACTGCTAGAAATTACACACACACGCCCTCTAGGATGCCGAATGCCGCCTACTCTTTGAGCGCGTAATCGACTTTGTCGAACGCGGACTCTCGGCCGTGTCGGAACTCTCGTTATCACTGTCTTTGCTCGAAAACAGCTTCGATAATATCCTTGTCGACATAACCATCCCCTTCCCCTTTTGCTTCCTACCATCTCTTACCCTTGATTCCCCTTTGAGTTCTTCGCTTGTTGGAAGCGAATCCCATTCTTCTTCTGTATTCGTGATTGTGGATCTCGAGCTCCCTTGGGACCCGCCTGCACCCATCGTTGCTCGTATTTGCTCGAAGAACAGGATCTGTACCACGATACGTAAAGGGAGTCGTTCGTTTTGGATGGCATGCATGCAAGCATCTGCCGATAACTTCCTACAATCCATTAATCTGCAAACCCTTTTTCTCTCATTCTTGCTGATCCCAGGGTGTTCCTGCAAATTCAGGATTATATCACAAGTTAAAAAAACCAACTTTAATGGTGTGATTTCGTTCAAATTCATCCAATTTACCTTAAGAAACATGTCGATCGCACGATAAATTCCGTCATGCGAACGTCGAGATAGAGTGGACACCATGTCTGCAAGATCAGCAAACTTGGATAACGGCAAATCTGGATTTTTTGCAATTTCAGCAAGGTAACAATCGACGAGCCTCGCCACTTTGACTTTGGCAGCAGAGTCAACAAATTTGACCTCTAAGAAGTCGTGTTCGTCACCATCATCAGCAATCTGATCCTGCATCATGAAGATCTTAACGAGCTCTTGAACCAAATCGACATCAAGATCCACAAGATCAGCAACCGATGTGTTCTGCAGTTGCTCACCAATCTGTTTCACCAGTTCGTTCTTTCGTGTTTCCCCACACCCTAAACGGACAGATTCTTGCAACAATTGAATCATCAAATCGCAAGAAACGTTATTTCTTTCTGTGGGTAGGAGAAAAATGATTGTTTCAATCAAAGATCGGTTTTTTACATCATCCCCACTTGTTCGGCTACCTTTCTTCAACCTCCTATGCATATAAGCTTTTAAAGATTCACCAAGAACATCGTTGCTCACTTTTCCTTTTGATCTGATCGTGGTTACGACTTTTTTATACAAATCAACAGGAAGATCACACAAATCTTCGACCCACCAATCTTTCGGAACCATAAGCTGTTTCTTAACACCGTTATAAAGTGGCGATTCATTGCCGTTTTCAGATGGCAGTTTCTTTCTATTGTAAGTATAAGACCACTCAACTCTAGAGGGATCCATGGAAGCTTTCATGGATATGGAATCTAGACAACGATTCACAACCTTCAGTTCCTCTGACCATGGAAGAAGAGACTTCGTAGTTTGGAAAACGATGATCGAATCTTTCCAGGATCTGAAAATGCTCGAATCCAGAAAGACTTCTGTTTTGTAAACGAGGTTTCCTTTATCTACAGTTTCGTGCATTTCTAGATACTCTGCTGCACATCTAGCCAACACGACATTATAAGCGTTGAGCGTGATTGTCATACCATAGCAAAACTTTGCACATAACTCAAATGCCGCCGGTCCACCAGGTATATCATGGAGTTCGACCTCATTGGTGCTTTCATTACTAGAAATTGAAACCATCTTCTGTAAACGAGCGCTCTTGGACAGAAGGGGAAACTACATACAAGGTGTTGTTTAGTATTAGCACTATCATTTTTCACCAGGAAAGTTCAACTGATAAATATGTTGAGGATATCATGTATTATTCATAATGAATAACCCTAGAAATCATATTATTTCGTAATGAATAACCCTGGAAATCATGTATTTTCATCATGATAATTTATCAGTGAATAAAGTATGTGGTTCTGATTTGAAGCAGCCCCTCGTTTTCATATGGTTTACTTTAGAGACGGTTTTAAAATCTGTATGCAATATCGCGTTTTTATACCTTGTGTAGATAAAACTTGATGTTACCAACATTTACAAGCATGTCTGTAGCGAGATCACCTGCTATGTACCTACACACAAAATCTAGTTATTAGATTCATAACCAAGTTAAGAACAATACATTTAGAACCAATAATCATCAAGATTTGGTATTTCAAGATTTTGAAACTGTTGGGTTGGATTACACCACCCAACCGAAGAACATATGCAACATGCATAAAAGCTAAAGATTTAAGATCAATACTGATGGTTCAAAACACTTGAACAAGCATTAGATTTGAAGTAAACTCACAAGAAAAGGATTTCAAACTAACCGTGTATTTTCACGGGTGGATTGAAACAAATCCGGCTTCGATCCAAGTTTCATAAACTTCATCCTGAACACCCCAGAAATGCCAAATGATTTCACCTCCAAGATCCCAGATTGTTATCGATCAAATTAACCGATTCAAGCACCGTGATGCGAAATGGGAGTGGGAGTATAAACTTACCAACTTCTGAGGTTACAAGATGTTTCCAAAACTAATTTAAGGGCAAAAAACAGGGGTTTCGAGATTTTTCGAAATAAACAAGCTAAAGATCCAGACAAGGGTTTGTTGGAAAACCACAAACAGAGTTGGAAGAATGGGTGAATCAAAGAGACAATGCTATAAATTACACATTTTTTCACACATCCTGTAGGATAAACTTGAAACTCATTGGAGACACCCCCCACCTTGCTAGCCACTGAACCAAAATTCAAGATCTGAGCCCAATAATCCACGTTTCTCCACAAATCTTTGTTTTACTAATGGATGATGACCTGCCAAAAATGATCTTGGTATGAGTTTAATGGACCACTAGACAACAAGCAAGCATAAACTTGAACGATATTTCACAGGAATACACCACTATGCACACATTTAAATGCAGCCTTCATTAAAACCAACAAATTTATTTCAAGGATTGAGTTTAAAAGTAGAAAAGCAAATCTAAGTCAACAATAAAGCATGGATTTATGATATCCACTGAAAAAGAACTAATAGCAAAAGTTGCCATTCCTTCAAGAATTAGCAAACAAAACAAACCCTACAACCCCATTTCATTTCAAGACCCACAAAACCAGTTTAAGGGTTGAAAATTGTGCCATGGAGATTATCATCAATTCACTGTTCAAAACCCAACAACAAGATGATATAATGTAGCCCTTATATTTAATCAAATCTAGATACTATTTGCATGATCAAACCTCAATTATCTTTAGGTCAAGTATGAAGCATGAAACCAGAGATGGAGCAGAGAAGCATGAAATAAACAGAACAGTAAAGGTAGAATCTTTTTAGGAGAATGAAAAAGGAGATTGAGGAAGAAGATGAACGACAAGAAACCCCACATACCGCTTAAAAAATCTTGACACTAATTTTGAACAGAAATCGGGTTTATGTTTGTAGATTTGTTGGAGGCTCGATAAAAGAAAAGGGATGAGATAGCAGAAATTAGGGCAGCAAAAAACAAAAAAGAAGGCAGGCATGAAAAGGACGAGTTATCTTTGCCAGCCACTAAAGCAACACTTTGTTCTCGCAAAAAGCCAATGCTTTGATCGGAATGTTCCCGTAGATGGTAAAGTAAAACTGTTGGGTCTTGGCTCCTGGCTGTTCTTGTTCTTTACCGCTGCATTCCAAAATATACATTTATAATACGTAATCCATAATTTTTATTGCAGGTTAAAGGCCTATAAAGTCGTTTGATGTGTTTTTTATTTAATTTTATTGTTTCAAAAGATTTTTGAAGTTTTTTTTTGTTGGTTTTTATGGATTTTTTAAGTTTTTATCTATTTTAAGGGAGTTTTCAGTTTTACTGGTTGATTTTGAGATATTTTTTTGGTTGGTAAGGGTTCTACCGAGAAATTACTAGTAAAAAGTTGAAAAAAATAGCTTTTAACCTAAGAAAATTCTTTTTTTAGTTTTTTAATGAGAGCCTTTTCCCCATCTTCTAAATGGCAAGTTGTTAATGTGGTCCAGAATCGAACTCATGTCTTATATTTGGACGGAGTCATTTTATTCCTTTGATAATTGGTTAGTTACTGCTATAAAAAACATATCATATACAAACTTTTTTTTAACTAAGAATACTTTAGGTACAAATTTAATTCAAGGTGAAGTGAGGTTAAAACAATTGACAAATATAAAACCAACGAACAAATTGATAAACTCTTAAGAAAAATGTTATTATTTTTAAAACTAAACCGACTATTATTATTTTTTTGTATTTTCTTATTTAGTTATTTCAAACATCACAAAGATAATATAGAATTATACGAAAAGCCGTATTCAATGAAAGTCGTCGCCGTTTTAGAATTCTAAATCCACCCTTGGAGCATCTTTCTTAAGAATTTAAGGAACTTTTTTTTTTTATTCTAACATGTTCTTTCTAACTATTTTTAATTTTCTTTAAACTGGGGTAATTCTTTATAAATAACTACTGAGTTTAAAATACCTTTTTAATCATATATTCTTACAAATAAATAAAATATTAGAATAAGATTTTTAAGAAAGAGAAATAATATTTTATTAAATGTATAAATTATTTTTTATGATTTAATTAATATTGTAATCTTTACAATTAAGAAGTTATTAGAATTGAATATAATTTCTTTTTGGAAATTTTAAATTTTAATTCCATATTTTAAAATATTTAGAGAATCTGTAAACTTATTATGTGAGAAGGAAAAACCAGTTTGTTAGAGGTATGGTAGATAACGTTGAAATCCTTTTTAATAGAAAGTTTCTACATGATATCTGGAAAATAAGTAGAGTATACTAGAGCGTTTGAGAAAACCATGTCAAAGGAACTCAACAATAGCGCAATAGCGGTTGCCTCTCGATCGAAATGGGTCTAATCCTTACTCTTATTGTTTTCAGATTAATCACGTTAACAAATTGTTATGGTCTTAAAACGAAAATATCCCATTATAAATTGGAATGTTCCTCCTATCAAAGCTATAACAAGCGGTTTGTTCTAAATAATACAGTTAAATTACAACAAATATATCTATTATGACTCCTAAATATATTAATAAGTACTTGATAGGACTTTAAGTTAATAAGACTAAGGGTTGTGTGTCTTATATGAAGGCACCACAATAAATTGTTAAAACGAAGTTAGACGTTACGACAAGTTCTATCAACGAAAGTAAATAATCTAACATGGCACAAAATAAATTATCCTAATAAAATTTATAATCAAACATCTTTGGAAAATGTCATATTAGTCTTTTTTTTTTATATCAGGATTTTTTTAAAATGTCATATAAATACTAATATGATTGGGGATGAAAACGGGGCGGATAATGCATCCTCCATCCCCAACTCCGCCCCGACTAATCCCCAACGGGTTCGGGGAACCCATTGGGCACCTATTTAGTAAAAAACGATCTATTTTAAAATTAAAATTACAATGGATTGTCACTATATTTAAGTACCAATATTGAAGATCTAAATATACTTGTCATTTAATAATAAATGCATACACATATTTATTTATACACAAATTGTATACATATATTAATTAAAATAAGAAAATTAATCGGGGTCAAATTAGGGACGGGTAATGCCATCCCAACTCCGCCCGACCCCGCTTCGGGTATGAAAATAAATCAACATCCCCACCTCATTACCCGTCAAACCGGGCAATCCTCACTCCGTTAGGGTCGGGTATCAACGGGTAAAATTTCCATATCTAAATATGACGATTTACTTTTTGTTTTCTATTATACTGTCGAACTTCTTCAATGATATTTATCAGGCTGTCTAACTTATGGGCTGTTTACCAAACACTTACTCGGGTAAGTGAACACCAAGTCACACTACCTTATCGGATGAATATAGTAATGACCAATAATCTTATCCTGTAAGAACGAGACAATAACCAAAAGTCTTACCCGGTAAGTGAGGGCAACGACTCTTACCACGGTAAACGCTTACCGGGTAAGTTATTGCATACCATACCATTTTGGTGGACTAAAATCTTACCCGAAAAGTAAATGATAGTGTCAAATTTGACCGATAGAAGCTTACCGGATAAATGTTTGGTAAACGGCCCCTTAGTTCAAATAACATATTGTAATAATGGAAGATAGCACACTGTTCTTGGTCCTATAAGATTAAAGTCTCATTAAATACATATTAGGACAATTGGGCCACAAACTAATTTATTGAAAAGTTTTGTTTGGTTAGCGACGGCCACAAACAAGTTTTTTTTATAAAATAATTTCAAATAGTGTTTCAATAAGTTACTTTTAATTTTTTTTTTTGTTATTTTTTAAATTTGTTTTTCAATAAAAATTTCAGGTCATTTTACAATGTCAATAATCTTATTAATTTATTTTTAATCAAACAATTATAACCAATTTTATAATAGTGTTATACCATATAAAAATATTTATCAAATCTGATAGTATTTATTTAGATTTATCTATACTATATTATAAAGTATTTGAAAAAAAACTCTTAAAAACCATTTTTTATACATAAAGTACTGTTTCTTAATGCATATTACTTAAAATTTAATATTACAAGTAAATTGTGCATATGTACAACTTATTAAAGCTCCATTTTGAATTCGTATAACTAACTGCAGATAAACATAATCAAATACAGGATAAATATCTTATTTTAAATATAAAAAATTTAAAATATAATTAGGATAATCATTGAGTTCTAACAGAATCATTATCTTTATAAAAAATTATATTGTTAACCCCAAAAAATAAATTACTTCGCTATTAGACATAAATTAAATTATAATAAAAATTTGAATTAAAAAAATTATACAAGTTCTTAGAACTTTTAAATAGTTAATTTGATATTAATATCGATATATTTTTTCAAAATTTTATATTTTCAAATATATTTTTATTCAAAAGTAAAAACATTATGTTTATCAAAAATATTTAAACTGTATTATATCATTAGAGACAAAAATAAAACGAAACAATAAAGTGAATATGTATCTAGTTGTTTAGCGCAAATACGATTTTAATATAAAATAAAAAGAGACGATGGGCCCAATTAATTAATTAATTAGCGTACCGTTCTTGATATATTTAAGGACAACCCCACATGTGAATACCATCTAACAGATCTATTGTCGTTGTTCAACCATCATTATTAGATTTACTTATTATTTTATAAATTATAATATTATTAAATGTTAGTAATGCTTGTTTTTTCATTTTATCATGTCTAAATTATTGACTAAAATATGTTTTTTATTCATATAATTTATGAAAAAAATTTGTTTTCTTTTTTTATGCTTTTAAATTTATGATTTATATCTATGTGTTTATTGTTGTTTTTCATGATTTACAATTTATTGATATTTTCGTTTTTATGATTTACAAATTTTTTAACTTTTTCCGTTTCTTATATTTAAAGATAGAAATTAGTCCATAAACAAAAATTGTAGCCAATCCCAAACCACAAAAACAGTATCTGTAATTTTAAAATCGTAAAGATAAAGTAAAATTATTAACAAATTACTCTAAAATTTATTAATGGTTTAAATGTGTAAGTAAAATCTTTAAGATCTGAAAAAAAGTAGTTAAAAAGCAGGTGGGCCATGTCACATAAGCACGCCACCCTCATTACATTCAACTTTCTCCATCATAACCAACCTTTTTTTCCATCATCCTCACACGTTTTTGTATCATATAAAAAAAATTATTAGTAATTTTAATATCATCAATCATTTTAATTTACTGTAATTTACAAGAAACTGATTTAGGTGATAAGAAAAACATGTTGTGAGTTAGAAGGTATGGAATGCATGCTCACAAATATTATCTATACTGCTTTAGATCACCATAAGACGGAAGTCAAGACCATAGGGAGTCGTGCCCCCTTGTGGGGTCCGAGGGGCAACGTCTCTAGAGTTTTATTTAAGACATTCTTGATGAAATCCAGAATGTTAGAATCTTTCTTGAAGTGGTCTTTGACACTTGTCGTAATTTTCAGACTAAGTATGATTCAGGAGGATTGACTTGAAACTTTTCAACCTTTTAAGTACGGTCCTTTTGAACTTGATCCTCTTTGATTCAAAGCTTTTGAATCAGTTGTAACTATTATTCATATTTATTTGTAAGCGTTTGAAACTGTCGTTTAGTTACATGCTAACCATCCAACCGCCCATAATCGTCGATCTATCTTATATATACATAAAAGGGTGGATCTAATGAATATAGATACTCGAGTTTATGCTTTAAAATGTGAGTGAATTTCCAAGATTATCTTCATACTAATT